CTTGGGCCAGTCACTCCCTCACAGCCCTGGGAGGGAGGCATTGGCAAACCCCTCCTGAATTCTTGCAAAAAAACCGCCGGGACCTAGCCGAGGCGGTCGCCAGGAGTCAACACTGACTCAAAGGCACCAAAAATAATAATAAAAATAAACAACTAGCCATTTCCTTTAACATATTATTAAAGCTGTTCCATCTTCTGGTTTGTGCAAGATAAAGACATCTCAAAAAAAAAAAATCTCCTGAATCCATTCTTTGCCACTTATTTTTTCTTTTGACCTATGTAGTCTTGACCTCCTGGATGTGACACCCTTTAATGCAGGGTTCCTCAACCTCAGCAACTTTAAGATGGGTGGACTTCAACTCCCAGGATTCCCCAGCCAGCATGGCTGGCTAGGGAATTCTGGAGGTTGACATCCACACGTCTTAAAGTTGCTAAGGTTGAGAAACACTGGTCTACACATTTAAAGTGTTTATTCTGCATGTAAACAATTGTGTCACAGCTATTTCTACCCGTTTATTTAAAATTCCCTAATACTGTTTCAGTGGGGTTGATTCTCAAGTACTATAAGCATTGCCAGTCTAAAAACCCTTGACTCATAGATGTTAGCAGAGGGATTCCACTGATCTGCCTCTCATATTGAGCGAAAGTCATTCATAACAGGAGGCATTCTATGTCCATTCATATCCAAACAAGATTGTCTTATCCTGTCATTTTGCTCTGTTAAAAGAAGAAATGACTAAAAAGCCAGAACTTTCTTGGTTCAAATACATATAACGATACAAAGAATTTTAAAGATCAACATTCAACTGAAACCAGAATTTTTCTTGCAGGGATCAATGGACAGTCAATTAGAGAAGAACCATGGAAGATTATATGATTACTTCTGCAAGACTATTATATGTGAAAAAATGGAAAGACGTTGAAATTCCCACAAAGGAGGGATGGTTGGGGAAGATGACAGAATCAGCAAAGATAGCAAAATTAACTTGTTTGATTAGAGAAAGATCAACAACTACATTTATCAGTGACTGGAATCCCCTTATGGACTTTTTGCTGAAAAAGAGAAAAATGAACTTGTGATTTATGGGTTTGAGGATTAGAAACGGTAGCTTATGGAAAGAAGGAAATTATGATGTAACTTTAGAAAGAGTGCAAAATATAAATGCATTTACAACCACTGTTGAAAAAATTGGAAGTTGCTCCTTCCTTCCTTCCTTCCTTCCTTCCTTCCTTCCTTCCTTCCTTCCTTCCTTTCCTTCC